GCTGGTTATTTGTACACCCTGTTTTAGAGCTATTTTCTGTTTAAAGTCCGCTGAGTGACTTGACCAAGTTTCGATGCTGGTTTTCATGTATTCTTGAACGCCGAATGCCTTGAAGGCCGACTACCTTGGGTCCATGGCGAACCGGGCCAAAACCCTAGTAGCTAGGAGTCCGATATGCTATGCACCAAAAAAGTTGTGGGTATCGATGGATCTTTGCACCATCGTACGAGCCTTGCCACGTTCGGTTGTTTTGACTTCCCTTTAAGTTGATAAAACACCTGAATTTACGACACATTGCAAAACGGTGGAAACTGCTATGTTTCGGATCATGCCTGGTCGTCGGCCTCCCAGTAGATTCAGGCAGCTTCGCTCATGACTGAGCGTGGTGCTCTGACAACTTAGGTCTGCGGAAGCCACCGCCAAAATGCGTTTGGCGCAAATTCCCGCTCCTTTATATCGAACCACGCCCCCGGTTGTCTCGAAGGCCGAGCTCTGCCAAGTTCTAAGTGCATGCCAGGTGTGTGATGAACTGTCTGTGGACCTCGACCCGGACCGAGAGCTCTAGAAAAGGCTGTTACCCACTGGCTAGTCTCGTGGCCCCGGTGCGCACTCTCATGATGAGCAGGTCACTCAATGTGGGAGCAGGATTGTGAGTTTCACGGCGGGTGAGTCCGCTCAACTCGCGCCCAAGTTTACTAATCCTTCGTTGGTGCGGTGCGTGCCTCCATGCGAAGGAGAATCCCCGAGCCGCTGACGAACCCCTCGCCATCCCGGCGGCACCTGCAGCCGTGACGTCATGAAGCCGCAATTGGCGCTCGCAACATTGGAATGCTGGTGCGCGTAAGACTTTGAGAGCTACCAATTAGTGCTGTTCGATTCCTGGCCGCTGTACGTACGGAAGCTCAGCGTCATCAATACAGACTGGTCCGCCTTACTGAGATGCACTGCGGCGCAGCATACCAGCTTCACAGTCGTTTGAGCAAAGGACGGCAGCACTGCAGACGACGGTTATGGGGTCGTCTGACCCCAGAGGCGGCGTCACCGACGGGGACGGGGGGCATCGGTGGATGAGGGGGGGGGGCGGCAGTTCCCCCTATAAGTACATTTTAATTTGGCAGCAATACAGCTTTGAACAATCGTCTTTTCAAGAGTGCTAGTGTAGCGGCCACACCCATCCTCTGGCTTGCAACGCGGCGAAGAAGCAGCTCCTGGTAAATGCGCGCAGATGTGGCGGTTCTAGCACTACGCAAAGCTGTATTCATGACAAGGCGCCTCATGCATCATTGTGCCGGCTTCTGCAACAGTACATAAAACTATAAGTACAGATAAATAAGAGTCATTCCGCAGCCAGATCATCCCAAGGCACTCAAGCGCATTATGCATCATGTACGAGTACGACACACTAAAGCATAACTCGGATCTATATACAAACTAAGTAGTGTCCTCACTGGGCTCATGTGGCGCACTGTCGGTCAATCCAGCAGGGGAGCTCACACAAAGGAAAGTAGCAGAAGGCGAAAACCGCGCGACAGAGGCAAGCAGAGAAGGATGATGAGACGAGTTTAGGGAACTAAACTGAAGTGCTGGTGTAATTAAGTTTCGATTCTAAATGAAGGTAAGGTCTCAGCCGGGCTCAGCCAGGGAACGTCCCCGCGGTATCCGCCCTTCGTGCCAGGGTGAGAGGCAGGCGACGTCACATAGCCCCAGCAGCTGAGTGCCTCGTAAAGTCCCAATGACGACGACGATGGCCGGGGGGGGGGGGGGGGGGAGGGGGAGGGGATGGAAGTCCTTTCTCTTAAAGGTTCCGAGGCTAAACAAAAAAGTAACAAAACAAAACAGGTTGAGCAAATCAACGCGAAACTTAGATACCTGTTCTAATACCATCCGTTTTGTATCCCGGAAACAACATTTAAAGTTCAAAGCAATTCACTGCGTTGGCCGAGACTAGTCTGAAGTTCAAATCTAGTAGTTAGAAACCGTCATGATGTGGTTTGGTATGGACAGATTTGGCGAATATTGCAGATGCGTCCCGTTGTGTGTTGCATGTGCATTTATCTTTTTTTAATATTTAAGCATTCCAGTTGTACTACAGCTTGTAGCGGTATGGTTTTAAATGGGTCTTCCGGCTAGATGCTGACCGGGTGTTTGCGGTATCCAATCTTCACAACACGGCGCCTGAGTGACTGACCCAGTATGTTCTGCATCATTGCCAATCAGACACATTCGTTAAACGTTCTATATCTTTTTATTGTCCACTTTTTCGTGAATTCAAATATAAGTTGCGATAAATTTGAGCTATTAACTCAATACTTAGGGGTGGTATTAAGTTATAAATACTGCAGCATTTATCAATTTTGGCTCTATAGTAAGGTTATTGACATATCACAGCTTTATCATTTATTGATAGATTTATGATCAGCTTGTATTGATATGTATAAGTTAAAAATTTTCAAGTTATTCATCTTGATGTAGTCTCTTCCAGTGTTCTAATCTATAATTCCATAGACAATTGCAGACAATATTTCAGAAATATTCAAGGAAATGTCGGGACATAGCCAAACGTAGAGGAAAGGGTCCCGTTAAAGCCCGTTAAGTCCGATAGGTCATTTAAGGGGGTGTTCCAAATTTGTTTGAGTTTTGAACTGAAATAGCTGTCTTAAAGATCATTGGGTGCAGTGCCCCGCCGTTCTTACAACATAGATCGCTCTAGTGTCTGCGTTACACGCCCGCGAAGGTGTGCAGACTATTTCTGGGAGACTATTACAACATTCCTCAGGCATCCATAACGCCATTGACGTCACTCAGATTCTGCTATTGCATAGGCTATGCGGCGTTTAAGGCCAGGAAGAATGCTATCGCCGAACCATTCAGATCTGGCGTTTATGAGCGCGATCTCCAGACATAACGGCCGTCAATTGGCATTCAGTCAATGGGGTGCAAGGTACGATGACGTAATAAGGGAATGGGGGTATTGAGGAGAGTATTTAGAAGACAAGGACATTATGTTGTCTAAAGGACTCTTCCCCACTTCATAGTATACTAGTGGGTGTTAATACGCATATTTCATCACATCTAATGGTTGGTTCGGCACCTTCGCATCTGAAAGATTTTCTTCAGGCCAGTAGGTTTACATTAGGTATCAGGCAATTTCGCAGGAATTGGGTCCAAGTTCGCAGGTTTTTGTAGAACATTTAAGATCTCTCCTCTCCCCATGAGGAAAGGGTGCTGAAGATGAAGATTTCACGGACATTACGTCGCTTTATTTCCACAGCTCCATGAAACATGTATAAACCGAGTGTTCCACATTTCTATGGGGTTTTAAACTGTGAAAAATCCATCTTGAGGATTATTTGATGCAGTTCACAGCTCTGTTCTTCTTAAGACCTGAATCCCTCTAGTGTCTGAGCTATACGCCCGCGAAGTTAGGGAGGCTATTTCGATGCAAGAGTATTTGAAGGTCACCTCGGCATACATATTGTCATAATAACGTCATTCAAATTCTGTCATTCCATAAACTAGGCGGCGATCAAGGCCAATCAGAGCATAATTGTCGAATCGTTCATATATGGAGTTCGTGAGCACGATTTCTAGACAAAACGACGTCAATTGGCTCTAAACCATGGTTGTGAGTTACGATGGCGTAATCAGACAATGACGTATCGAACAGCATATTTACTGAACATATAAATTGTACTGTCTAGAGTGGTCTTTTCCACCTAAGCATCAAAAGTTATAAGTGAGCTTGTTGCATCATATCCGACGCTTTCTTTAATATTTTCTATTGTAAAGCATTCCCTTTTAGGAGTCCCATGTCCCCACCAGTCGGGTGGGGGTTTTCAACCCGTACTGCACATGAAAACACAACTTGAAATGAGTTTTGTTTTAAGTCTATTGCGTTGTGACATGTTACGCAACCTAAAAAGACCGTCATGCTATATCTTTGTTCCTTCTTTTCAACCTCGTAACATTCTCATTCCTGGTTGCGCAGAAGCTGCGCACACCAACTCTGAGGAGACGTCCATGGCAGCGCCACTTAGAGGGGCAATGGGGAACAGTCCCTTTTGCCAAGGGGCAAAGATAGGTCCCTGTTGGTTATATTTTCACCTCTCGTCCGTCTGTCATCGCGGTGTGAGGTGCGGAAACCATCCCTGAGGTCGTCAAAATTGATCGTTTTCTATGACCTTACCCACCGGTTCAGCCACAGCTGAATGCAGTTTTAGTGTGCGACAGGGGCTGAAAACCTTCTTTGCTTGATGTTGAAACAGAGGAGGATCGAAGCAGTGTGTGACGTGTTTGCCTTCGCCTGGATCAAACAAATCCGGTTCATGCCGCAGTCGCTTTTGCCAGTCTAAACGCATAAAATCAAGGAGTGTTCAGCTGAACTTAGGACTGCACCATGCACAGTGGTAGTGCAAACCTGGAAGGAGAATGCGAACTCCGTGGTCCTTAAGCAGCGTATCGATGAGATCGCATCGATGTTCTATGTTACCAATTTTCCATAAACAAACAAAACGCTATTGGGATCGGACAGCCAAGCCATGATTTAGCTGCGGGTGCAAGCACGTGAAATATCACCCCGCCAAACCTTTGCCACCGTACATTAACACGATTATGCAATGACACATTATATGTTCAAATAGTATTGATAGTATACACCATGCTGAGAAAAATCTACCACATTGCGATTTTCTCCGACATGGTGTGACGGACGTCCGCTCACGTTTAAAGAGTGAGGTGATACTAGTCACTTGTATAATTTTTCCAGTCAACGCTTAAATGGCTGAAGTTATTTTTTTAAATAAGGAAGTTGACTGACAAAAATTATGAGCTTCGGGCCTGCTCATATCACCGCTTTCCGAGCGCGTTGCCCTGTGGTGTGCAACACCAGAACCTGAGGAATTTGCATGGCAGGATCATTTACGAGAATGCCGGACGCGAATTGAAACATCCAGAATTCGTAACATGCGTTCATAACATGCAGCGCTAGCGATGTCCAAAGCATGGAGAACAGTGCCAGCAAGACGTATGAAGTGGTCGTCGTGATCGCTGGGGATTATGAAAATTAGATGCTATGAATTTAGACGTTGTGGGCTTGGATGCTATAAGCTGCGCCAATGGTCACGGAACTTGACGCATGTTGGCTGTTGTAAGCGCTGGATGTTGCGATTTTGGATGATATGAACACTGGGCGCTACCATCTTGGACGTTTTGATGGTTTCCCGAAATGCCTGTTGTTATTCTCATTAGCATTCATTCACTTATTTGTATTCAAGCGTCGTGACAGTTTCACGACCTCCACCCC